ACATTCTGAATTTCATTAGCCTACATCAATTTCTCCACAAGTGCTAGCTAACACATACAGTTCCCATTATACAGACTATTTCGAATTCTATGTTCATTTGTATGTACACAACTGATAAACTCAAAAAGAAACCTGATACGACAACCATATTCCGAGTGACACGACACCAACTGTAGCTAAAGCTTGTCCGAATTCAAACAGAAAATTTTGTTGTTCAACTGGCAAATTCTGCCACTCGGTATGCCTGAGCAATGGTCAAACCAAGGAACATAAAAGTTAACAGTGGCAGAGGAATGCGATGTAAATTCATAAAGCAAAGACTGATCAGATTCACTTCAAAGCTAAGACAAACTAGTAAGAGCAACAGCATTTTGTCACTTGATATCCATTTCCGTGTAGTTCCTATTATGTTTCCCCATGCTACCTAGATTCTAATGTTGTAATAAAGGACTGAGACCAAGGGCCAGAGACTGTTCTTTCTAATTTTTTAAAATTACATAGGATTTTGATTTACAGTTACTGCACATGTCATTCGGCTGGTGGCTCACTGGCAGCAATAAGCCTTTAAAGGGGAAAGAGTTGGTAATGGTTAATTTAAAGACTAATATAATAGCTAAGCATAGGTTCGTGGTAAAGGTTAATCCAAACGATGTCCAGTCAGCTCAATTTATGCTTTACAAACATAACAGAAATCATTAACTGGTAGAAAAAGCTGCATACCCTAAATCAGCAATGATAATGCTGACATTGTCTTGTGAGCCTTTATCCTGCAGCAAATAAATCATTAACTTTTGCAGCAAATAAATATATACAAGTAAAATTAATTGAAAAATACAAATTACTCTTGCAATTAATTACCAGAGCAGCTTGTGCAAGTGCATCACATGCTACCTGAATCAGGAATAAGGGTAAAGTTACAACTAAACCAAGGTACGAATATCATCTGCAATTTTATTATGTATATCTGATAAAACTGGAAGATTGATACAGTTATTTGTGATGAAGTTTGTATAATATAAATCACCTGAACATCTCCATGTTCACGTAGTTTGATTCCGAACAAAAGCAACTGCATCTGAACTGAAGAAAATCATATATTTGTCAGACACATCCTGCTACAAACTGAATTTACAGTATACTAATAAAAAAAAGCTTTATGTGCAATAGCAAGAGTTTAAGAGCATATATAGTTAAGGAAACCTGTTTATGTAATCCCATAAACCATCAGATGCCAACAGGACAAATTCTGCATCTGACCCAATAGCTACTTTAAAAGTATCTGGAGATGCAATAACCAAGTCATCATTGAAGACTACTCTGAAATAAAATAAACATTGAAAACAAAGCAACCTTGTAAGTTTGAAACACGATTCAGATAGTCCGCCTTTTGCTAACTAAGGAAAACAACTTGAGCTAGATTTTACTCTAATTAACTAGTATAACATAAACCAAGGCTCAATGAACCCACATTAAAAATGGGAAGATTAAACTGAAAGGAACTGTAGAAGATATACCGGGAAATAAATTTTTCAGACCATCTCCTTTCTTCAACTCCCTTCTTCAGCATTCTGAGCAAATTATCCAAACCATCATCATTATGTGTATGCATAAATGTATTCAACATAAACTACTACGAAAGAAGACTTTAAGTTGAGAGCAAGGAAAGAACCGAACTCATTCTTCTTTGTCTTAAATCGAGTGTCACCAAAAGCACGGGATACAGCAATGTCACCACAAATCCTACCATTGCTAATCTATATATGGACATCATGGCAAAAAGATTTATGATCAGAGCAGTGTGAGTAAGTAAGACAAACTTATTTGAGGCACTCGAGTTCCGGACTATATTTTAATATAACTCACAATATATGGAATCTTGTTGGTACAAGAAAGATCAGTGATACAATTACTATTTAAAATAAAATCATCAAGAACAGAAAAAAGAAAAGAAAAATAATTAAAAAGAAAAAACACACCCATCCACCTGCTTCTCTAATTCTTTTAATTTCTTGCAAAGAGGCCTGGTTGCTCCCATAGGGTCGGTGAGAATCAGTCAAGACCTGTGCTTTTCCAGCACGAGACAGAACCTGCATCAATGTATCAGCTGACAAAAGAATGAAAAAGTGATATAATCCACTCAAAGAATAAAGGTTTTTTTTTGTCCAATTCTCATAGTGTTACTCTCTCGAAACCCAGAAGTATTAGTGTTAAGGATTCTAATGTTAAAAAAAACTTTAATACAAAAGCTGAAATAGGAACGGGCATCCATACCACACAAGAATCACCAACATGAGAAATGAAGATCACTTCATTTCCAACTAACATGACAGTGGCTGTTGAACCGGAATCATCGTTGCCATCTCCAATCTTTTCAAGCCTTCAACAAAATGAAACACCAGCTAATCCTTCAACCAATAATATACAAAATTCTACAATTATATCAAGACTACTAAACTAAAATCCAATTTCAATATTTGATTGTTCCAAAGCATATTTCCATTTTGCTCACCAGTTTAGCAACTTTTATCAGTAATTTCAAAAGCATCCGCTAACGCTTTCTAATAGAGTGTAAATCTCCGTTCAACAATACTCCACCTTGCAAAGCTGTAACACACTCTTTATACAGCTCATCTGCTTTAACCCGAACCATCTCAAATCAATAGTATTTGCTAATTAGCTAACAATAGAAGATGCAAAAGGAAATTCATAATAATAATAATAATTTCCATGCCTGAGATACTTGACGGAAGATACGCCGCCATGGCCATCAAAGACAGCAGCGAAGGAGAATCCATCAAGGCCGTCCGATCGTAGAACCAAATCATCCTCCATCTCCTCGCGCCTGCCCTGCACGCTGGCGGACCCCCAACGGATCCCGGAGACATCGGCTAGCGAAGAAGGAGCGTTGATTGCAATTGCGGAGCAACGGCATGGGATTCTGGATCTTATCGCCGTTGAGGTAGTTAATGGGTTCCTGTAAGCGGTTTTGGTATTGGAGCTGAAATTGAACTGGATTGCAAGGAATCTTTGTAACTGAGGAGCGGGTAACGCCATTGCTGTTGGCTGACTCAGTACGAACCGCTGAGTCAAAGCGGATAAGTTGGGGTTACGAGTTTCGGTTTTTGTGTGGATGATGAGAATCTCCTCTGTTAACTGTGGGGAAGGTGTGTGGCGATGATAAGAGAGTGAAATTAATCCTCAAACTGATTTAACGGATTGATTCCACGTGGGCTGTGATCTTCTACGGATTTTCCACTACACTTTGAGATAGTATTCTGTTCTGCGGTTCAGATTTCGCCACATCAGATAATGAATTAGCTTATTTGCCCTTATCATCGACTGGATACTTCACTTATAATGAATTTAGCTATGGGCACTCATGTTTCTGTAGCCTCAGCTCTTGCCAACACATTAAAAGTCTCATTGGTTCTCTTTATTTAGGGTATACTACATTATTAGTCATCCATGAACTAATATGTTTTCGTTTTGGTCACCATTCTCTATTGTTTTATATTTTGCCACCATTGATTTTTAATGTAACATTCTTCTAATTGTCATGACAACAGAATTTCACTCTCAAAACCTACATATTTTTCTATCTAATTTTGAAAAATACAACGTATTAATATTATTGATGGAAATAAGTTAGTTATCGATCGTTAATGTTTCATCTCTTCTGATTTAAACGAGAGTTGTGACCTGAGAAAATAATTATTGACCTATATTTGAAAGGAGAAAAGAGTATTATCAAGAGGAAGAAGAAAGAAGGTCAACTGATTATGCATGATCCTCCTTTCCCATCTTGATTCGAGTATTTATGATCCATCCTCCTTTCCAATCTTGATTCGAGTATTTATAACGACCTTTAGTGCGTATGACAATTGTAAGATCATCTTGATCTTGACTGTCTGTAGAATAACATATTAGGTAGATCAAATAAATTTTGACTTGATTTTTTTTGGAATGTCACATGAGCCTTTAAAAGATTTTATCTATACAAAGTAGTTGACTAGAAATTTGTATTCAAATCGACAAATTAATATTGTTTAATCGGGGCCCAATATTTTTATATTTTTATATTTTTATTACGTAAAATAGATATTTAATTAAAATAATAGAGAAAGTGATTATAACAATTATTCTAAAATATATAAAAGTCAATTATATTATTATTCTTGGGTCGGGTCAAGAATTTTCAAAAGAAAATAACACTACAAGATCAAGTCGAAATCCGAAATCCATTGGGTTCGAGTCAAATGTCCTTCCCAAGTAAAGGCCAATTTCACCTCATTCAAATAACTTGCAAATACTAAACCCTAAATCAAGGAGGAACAAGGATCCATTAAAACAAAAAAGAAAGAGAAATGGTGAATTTGAAACTTAACCAACTGCTTAATACAATCATCAATAAGTCTTGAGCTTATGTACACTATCATTCAACCTTTAATTGTTTTTATGTGCATATGCATGTAAAATGTTACCTTTTTAAAACTTCAGGTGAATTCTTCCTTCAAATAACCTGCGGGCTTGAAAGGGTCGGATTCGGCGTATGCATCCAGACGGTAGAACCCGGAATCATTGACAGGTTATTGAGCACATGAAGTATAGCTTTCTTCGAGCCTCCGTATTCATCCCGGTTACTCTCGATGTATTCTTTGGCCTCAGCCGCTACATCATTCACGAAATCGAATCATATGGTATCGTTCGCCAAAGATCCTGGCATCTTTGTTTTCTTTCACTACTGCGCGTTGATAGTTGATCTCCAGTTTCGTTGATGTTGTTCCGTTTCTTCCATTGATTGTTTTTTTTTCCTTCATCCGCTGCTGCTATTTTCGTTTGTTGTAGATCTAAATCAGTTCAACTTTTGTTGCTTTCTCCATCGGATTGTCACTTTCCTCAGCTGCCTGCGCCAATTTTCTGCAACCCATTTTATTTTCATAGCAATACCAATTCTCTTCTTCAACAATTTATTCACTGAATCAACCTTCTGTTTTGAACCAATGGTGACAAACACCACTTTGGACAGAGTGTGCCCTTCCCAGGGATCCCATAACAATGTCGAACTCGAAAACCCTGCTCGCTTTTTCGTCGACGAGCACAACAAGAAAGAAACGCGATGGTCGAGTTCGCGAGTTGTGAAAGCAAGCAAGCAAGTGGTGGCTGGGACGCTTCACCATTTGACGGTGGAAGCTATCAATCCCGAAAGATGTCCATATACTGTAAGCTGTGTCCACAAACGATCCTGTAGTTCATGGTGCTACAATCATGCTGTGAAGACTATACAACAGAGATCCAATTCGCTGCTGCCTTACGAACTTATAGAATTCGTTTATGCCAACGCCGAAGTATCAAAAGATTTCGCGAAACTAAACATGCTTCTTAAGTTGAAGAGAGGAGACAATGAAGATAAGAAAAAAGAATGAAGGTAAACAAGAATAACGGAAGGAAACGTCGCACTTCCGATTCAAAGTGAACGGAAGAACATCGACACTTCCGATTCAAACTGAACGGAAGGAAGCATCGACACTTCCGATTCAAACTGAACGGAAGGAAGCATCGACACTTTCGATTCAAGTCGACCGGAAGGAGGCGTCTGCACTTCCGATTCAACTAGAACAGATAGTTTACTAAACATTGTACAAATCTTCGTTTGAGCAATTTCGACCCAAAGTGCAGGATTTGTCATTTGATCAAGGAGAAGGAAAAGAGTAAGGAGAATATTGGAATATGTTTCTGGAATACATGACTTCATTCTAGAATATGCAGTAACGTGTGTATGTGATGCTGATGTGAGCGTTGTTTGTGAGTAAGTTGTTATAGCTGTTAAGAAATATTGGATTCTGTTTATGAGTTTGTTATAGAGGTTGAGTACACTTGAAATTACAGCTTGTATATAAGCTGGCTGGTTGTAACGTAGTTAACAATGAGCTTAATGAATGTTATCAGAGGTTATTCATTGAATTCTATCTTCTCAACACAACATTTCATCCTTCTTCGCCTGAACAGACACAAGCAAACTGAACCTCCACTCCCACGTAAACATTGCAACTAAATGCCATTAAGCGCAATATTTTCACCATGACAACACATGCACATCCATACGAAGCAAGGACCAAAGATAGGTATAGCTCGAAATTCGTTTCGATACGTATAATAACCTTGACTGATCCTAAATGCCGGAAGATTTCCACCGTGTACGGAACGTACAAATTAAACTAACATTTATTCGTGATTCAACTGCTAAATTAATCCAGTTTTGGTGAAATACAAGCAATGTTGAGTTGATTCACAATATATACAAAGCAACATTGAGCAGATATAACCCACAACAAGCAACTCAATCAATATCTAAGTTGTAATTTTAGCATGCAATTCCAATATGATTATACAATTGCTACTGAGAAAAAAAGGATGAATGCTCAAACATCTTATCAATTTTTAACAGACCCAAAATTGTCTTGCCAAATCAATTAGGAAAAAGTACACAAGAATTTAGGACTACTGAACTTTCAAAAATTACAAAATGGTCATAAAACTTATCGAATTGTTACATCATGTCATTGCAATGTTATAATAATTGTAAAAATTCGATAAATTTAATGACCATTTTGTAACATTTCGATAAAATTTAATAATCATTTTGTAACAGTTCGATAAATTTAATTACCATTTTGTATTGTTTGAAGGGTAAATTACATGTTTAGTACTCAAACTATCAATTTTAGTCCGTTTTAATACAAAAACTTTTAATTTTTTTCAAAATCATACCTAAAGTTTAGTTTTTATTTCATTTTAGTACCCCGTCGTTAAAACTTCAGTTCTTGTTTCATTTTAATAATTGTTCAAAAATTAACATTAAGTTTTGAAAAAAATTAAAAATTTAGATACTAAAACGGACCAAAATTATAATTTATGTACTAATCGCGTGAAAAACTTCACGGCGGGTACTAAAATGAAATGAAAACTGAAGATTAAGCATGCTTTTGAAATAATGAAAGTTTAGGTACTAAAACGAACCAAAACTGATAGTTTAGGTACTAAATGCGTAGTTTACCTTTTGTTTTTTAAGTTAAGTGACCAAAACGACTGTTTTAGCATACTTAAGTGAACTCGTGTGTTCTTTACCCAATAAATTATCATATTCACAAGAAAACAAAGAACTTAGAGATAAAATATATAGCACAAACCAATTTCCGACTCCAAACACGGCGACCACCGCCATCACTTTGTGACCGGCAAACAACCTGGAAAGAACTATTAATCAGAAAAAAAAATATTTTCGGTAATTCAACAATACAATAAAATGGGTTTCGAAATATAAAACCTGTGAGCTAAATGGGTGTCGAGGTGCCGTTAATTAGTCCCTGTTCTGGCCTGGGTCAAACCAAGGGGAGAAAAATCCCAGAAAAATGAATTGAAATTTAATATTACAAAGAAGATGGAGGGGCCTAAATTGGAAAACAAAGAGGGTTGAACCTTTACCGTAAGAAGCGGTGAAGAAATTTGAGCTGGAAATTGCAAACGCCATGCCCTTGTTCGAGCTATGATAGTTCAGGATTAGGATGGCTCTGAGCTAAGAGAATAAAAGGTAAGAGTACGAGAGTTTGAAACGGCAAATATAGATGCCGTTTTACTGCGAGTAAAATGTGCCTGAACCCAAAGATCCAAACTTGTTGGTAAACTACCTCATTAGTCATGAAACTATAGGTTTTGTTATTTTTTGGTCATTAGACTAAAATCTTACAAATTTAGTTTCGGGATGGAGAAGGTTATGGGGGTGAAGTGTTTGGGTTATCTGTTAGGTAAAGAGTTTTTTTTGGGACCAGAATAATAAATTTATAATTATAAAGATTAAATTTATTAAATTATTTAGAACTAAGATTAAATTATTATAATATATAAATATTGAAGAATGATTATATATCACATTATCATTTTCATTATCAATTTAAATGCGGTAGCCCAATTGACAGTAATTTGTAACATTGGTAACTAAATATACAAGATTTTTAATTTGGTGACCAAAATAAAACAGGCCCCATGATTTGGTGATTAATGGGTTAGTTTAGCCAAGCAATTTTTATAGTATAAGTTATGTTGTTTTATAAAATAATAATCTAAGTGTTGAAATGTTGAGTATTGAAAAATCAAATACTAAAAAGTTAAGGATTTTATGTAAACTTTTATCATACACAACCCTTGTAATGTCAAAAACATTAACATTATTAGCAGCCCAGTTCCATGTAAGACATATGACCTATGTTACCCGATCTATCCATGTAAATAAATTATGGTTTTTATTCTAAAATAATATTGGCAGTAACTTTTTTTATATCACCATATTCGATCTATTAAATTATTAATCCGAATCGGATAATACAGAAGCATTGCAGTCTTTCTTAATTTCAGGGGAAAAATGAAGCATTGCAGGAAAAAAGCCAAAACAGAGAACTCCTCATGTTACAATTTACAATAGCGTTCTCTCACCCTCCCCACAGTTCTTAATTCAAGACAGAGACTTAAATAAAAGACACACCATTGTTTTATGCCTACATGACAGTGCACAAAAGCTCATTATAAGTCCAGAATTATACCATCTGGAGAGTCGGATTACGTGGAGACGTCAGTTTAAGGTCCGAGTCCTAGGAATAGCTTAAGGTACATCTTCTTGTGCTGAATCAAAAACCGGTTGAGCCAAGTGAGACATCAGTTTACAATAACAGTGCTAAGAAACGAACAAAGACGATAACGAGAGACTTACTGCTTAGGATGAAGCCTTGAAGCAAGCTTTGGGCTCTCTCGGACTGCTCTGGAGTACCCGATATTTGAATGATCTTTTTGCGTCTCATCTGGTCTATCTTCTACCAGAGTCACATTGGCACCAGACAACTATACCAAAAATATCCACCAAGAGATGAATTACTTGAGATCTAGATTGAATCAAAGTAAACATAAACAAAATATGTACTTGAAAGCAGTGATGGTTACCTCGCTGATCTGCGCCAGTTTGTTTTTCGATTTTGCTATCAGCTTGGTAACAGCATAATCCGGTATGACAACTTCAAGTGTACTCCTAGTAACAAGTGGTACAGCGATCCTAATAGAAAATTACAAGCAAGAAAAGCACTATTTATTAGAATAGCCTTTAAAATACTGGAAAGGAATTAAAAACCTTCATTCTCTAAATGGAATTTTCTTAAAAAATAATGCAAAACTTAGTCACCTGCTAATTGCACTTGGTACATCTTCACGCCGTTCAGATTCGGTCTGCTTCACTGTTTCCGCACCAGATTTCATAACTTCCTATAAAAAAATAATTAATTTCTATAACCATGTTCTAGAATGAAGAAGATGGCCCTGATGCACTTCAAGATGTTCAGTTGTGCACCACATAGCCGTTAAAGATTTTCTTCTAAAGAAACTAAAGGAGAACTTGATGCTAAGATTGGAGAACTTTTTTTTTACTACATATGCAATGGAAGAAAACAAATACCAGCGGTGAAGCAGTGAAAGGAAAGTCAAAATCAAAAGAAAGCACCATAAGTACAACCTTTGATGATGATGGCGTTGCTGGAGTTGGCACATTCTGATAGGCTCCAGCAGGATGGTCATTGGCAGTTTGTCCATCACGAGCTGGAGTTAGGTCTGGAGAAATATTCCCAATGGATGTTGCGTGATAGGTGGTGCTAGAGGTGGAGGGTCCTGAGAGAATTCCCTATACAAGTAACTGCGTAATCGTGATGTGATCTCAACAAGAGCATCTCGAGCTGCCTTAATCTCCCCCACAATCTGCAGAGTAACTCAAAGAGCTATTCAGAATATACAAGGTAAATCCATCCTATAATCTCATCCATCATTTATTAAACTTGACAAACTCATGGCCAAGAGATAGAAAACTTAAGACTCGAGAGTTTGAATCTTCCAGCCTTGATTTAACTAACACCGAGAAGCTAAGATCTCTTTGGTTCATAGGAATAGGTATCTAATTAGCAAACCTGCACAATGTCATTCAGTCCTGATACACAAGAAGGAAGTTCTTCTCCTGACAGTATCTGTGTTTGCACCGGTTAATCTTTTCATTTCCGATAATGATCCATCTCTTCCCTCTAAACATCCAATTTCACTCGATGGAACAAGCAACCTAGTAGTTACTATGTTATCTTTATCAGGAACAAGGTCAACAATCTGAGTTTGGATATGCAATAAAGCCTCTTGAGCTGGAAACAACTCATCATCAGGACCCTAAGGACAAACAAAACCAAAGATATGTTAGAAACCTTTAAGAGTATGTAGAATTCAAAATTCAAGAGGAGATGAGAACTTGTTTTTTTAAATGTCTTACAGTCTTTAAAACTTGTAATTGACAATATCTGATTCAAAAAGCTAAAATGTGACAGAATTTATCACCCAAAATCAGCTGTGGAAAAGAAAAGTCCACAGGCTAAAGAAAAAACTATCCCCCAAGTGACTACATGTTATTAAATAAAAATAGAGAGACAGTAAGTACCTCCTCAGAAGAATGGTAATTATCTGCTCATCTGCCCTGCACGGGATCAGCAACCTTGACATCCACACCAATTTCATTTTGAAGTAAATCTACTATGCCATCTGGCTCCCCAAAAACACTATCAACCTTGTCATAGGGCAAGTATCCGAAACACAAGATCCTCACCATACAGAGGTTGTCCACTGTCAGCCATAGGAGCAGTCCAGCTTCAATGAAGCCAGATGAACGTGAGGAATAATTGTTGCCTCTGTAATTCATAGTAAAATCCGAACCAAAAGAACCATCCATAGATGATTTACGTGAATTATTGTTTACCGGTGGAATATAATCATCATCAGGGGAAAACCACTCTGGTGAATGCATCCGTCCATGGAAATTACTGCGGTCACGATGCTGACTCTCCCTTAAGCGTGATGAAATAATTGCTATAGCATTTTTACAGCACTTGCATCACCTACAACCTGCATGACAAACAAGTAGACAAATATCATAAACCCATTTTCAGTAACTTCCACAGAGGGAAATTGGGAGGGAGAAAGAAGTTCAAACTGAATATGCTTAGATAGATATTGTTGAACCAAAAAATCTTTCCAGAATATCAGTTTTGGTAGCCAAACCACCATAACAAATAGCAGGATCAGAAGCATTATTCTTTGCAATGCATTATGGACAGTGGAAACAATTCAATTTATACGGATCTAACTACCCAACTTGTATACCCATTTGCAGCCTCAGCTGCATAGAATACCTAGATTTGGACAACTTTATCAGCAATCATAGAAATATGGTTAAGTAGAAACGGGATAAAGTGGAACGATAAATATTATGCAGCATTCATATGAATGATTGATACTCAATATATTTAAAGATTAATAGAACTGACGGGACCATCAAAAGACTTGGATCTGATAAGGAAGATACATTCAAATAATAGATAAGCATTATGTATAAATGCCAATATAAATCCTGATAGCTTTCAATACATGAAATATTCCATCAGTGAGCTATTATGAGAGGAAAACTACATTGTGCGTATTTTTCTTGCCACAAGAACCCAAGTATCTACCGAAACAAAAGCAGATGAAAATTAAACCATGAATGTGGCAACAACTTGAATATTGATAAAGCCGCAGATTGGGAAAAAAACACAGGAATGCAATCAGACTACAAGGCAAAGAATTTGAAATTCCCAAATAGAAGAAGTCAATCTTATTTGAAACATATGCCAGCTAAAACCTCCATAATGAAACCTTTTGAAGACCTTAAGCATCTATAGTTTAATAACAAATATAGGTATTGTTTCAGCAAAGGGCAACTTGTTTAACATGAAGACAATATTACCAGAGCCGCAGTCCAGCAATGCCACTGCCGATGTCATATACTAGTATTAGATTCTTAATAGAAGTTTCTCCCAAAGGAAAAAGCAATGAAGGAACCACATTAGTAACTCCTATAATCCATGGGTAGCATTCATTCAGGTCAAGATTTTGGATTCAGCTCACCAAGACCTGAAATTCTTTAACTGGTGCATAAACATTTAACTGCCCAATCATTCCATTAAGCCATTGCATTTAAACACATCATCAATTTTGAAAACCCCAAAGATTAGTATTTTGTAATTACGCCTAATTTTTGTGCAATAAATGCAAATCCAAATGCAGTTGGTCGCAGACCTGAACAATCTCCTCAGACATGGAAACGCAACGGGGCAAGGTA